ATTTTACTTTAGAAAGAGAAAAAAAAATCAAATTATCATCAGATAAAGGAGGATCAAAAAATGTCTATTACATATTTAATAGTAAAGTTCTTAGAAGTTAGTAGAATAAATAAGGATATAAATATTTTAAAATTCTGGGAAGAAAATTCTTCAATATATCCAGAATTATATATCTTATCTAGATTCTTCATGGCTGTGCCGGCTACACAAATACAATAATTATATAAAGATAACTATCTATTTTATAAGGGTAGAACGTGAATTTTCATCTTTGAAATCTATATTCTACTTTACGTGGAAATCTCAAGGACGATATTTTAGAAGATATTATGATTGTGCGAGAATAAAATATACAAAATATAAATTATTTCATTTTTAAATTTTTCATTTGTAAATTATGAATAAGTATATATTGAAGTATAATAATTAATGAATTTTAAAAAAAAATCTTATTTTGAGTCATTATTTTTATGTTCCCTGAACCCGAACCCTGGACCCGGTCCTTTCAAATTTTATTCCTAAACCCGGACCTGGATTCATTTTTTTTGTCGAAGGGTTCACATCCCTGTTTTAAATATAATAACAATGTAATATCATAAACAATTAAAAAATAATTTGAAGCTACACATTAAATTGAAAAAAATCAGATATTGACGGTTTTACTAAATTTTTGGACCCTAAAAATAAGAAAATTTTTCTACGACTGAATTCATGGCAACAGCGTCCACATAGCAGAAAATTTGATGTAGACAAACCCCCTTGTAAAATGCACCCCTATCCTCCTAAAATAATTCCGCAATCTATGACCGAGATATTCACCAAACCACGATGCTATAGTGATACTAATAAAAAGAATCTTATAATAAGCTACTATTAATCTCACAACAAAATTTTATTTACATCCTTTCAGGCCTATTTAGGCTAGAAAAACAATTAAATCTCTAATTCTTTCTAATAATCAATAAGCAATTGAAAAGCTGTTTGGGCCATTCCATGGGATTGATCATTGAATGAGAAGAAAATATATTGAAATCTTGGATGTTTGCTAATTATTAAATAAAGAATAGTTAAAATTTGTTAACCTATCGAAAATCTTATTTTTAATAATATTGTCAAAATTTTAAATGATTTATTATATTCTTACTGAAATTAATCATATGTTAACCTCTATACTTCATGTGAAATTTTAATATATTATGGTAAAATAATTAATAAGATGGCTTAAAATTAGTGCTGTGAAGTAACGTCAAAAGTAACGCCGTTACTAACGACGTTACTTTTTTGATGAAAAGGAACGCCATTTGTTACCTTCATCTAAAGGTAATGAGTAACGGTAACGCGTTTCTATTTTTGAGTAACGGTAACGCAAAACGTTACTTTACTCGTTATTTGATATTTTTTCTTAAAAAATATCAATAAAAAGTAAAACATATTTTATTGTATTATAAAATTACTTTTATTTATTTTTTAATTCTTAATATTAATAATTTAAGCCGAGTTTTAATTCATATCAACCACTTCCAACTTTTTTTTCTAAATTCTCGTTGTTAAATTATCAGTCGAAATTAATATTCAATCAAAATTCAGAGTAAATATAATGATATTATTAATTAATTTATATTTTATTTTAAAAGAATATTAGGTCCATAGGACTTACTTCTTCAGATGAAGAAGATTTAACCCTTCCCTGGCCCCAATTTGATAAAGAAAGAACAGGCTTGATTCCTTTATTCAACACACACACTAGAATATTTTCAGATAATGATAAAAAAATTTTTGATGAGGAAATGAATGAAGATCTCTGTGAAGATGATCTTTCAAGCTTTTTTCAAAATAAAAATATTTCCTTAAATATTTTTAATAAATTCCCCGAATTGAAATGTTGTTTATTAAATATAACACCACTCTCCCATCCTCTGTGCCAGTACTAAGCGCTCATGTTTATCTGATCAAAATTTTGAAAATCAATTGTTAAAAATAAATAAAAAATTGTTACATAAAGATGTTATCTTATAATATATTATTTTTGTATAATTTTATTCATATTATAATTATTTATGAAAATTTTATTATAAAAAGATCTTATCTTATATGTTCTTTTTGTATAGTTTTATTTTATTATATATTGTCCGAAATAAATAAATATTTTTTTGCATTATATATAACATTTAATTTTTTTAAGTAACGAGTAGCCCGTTACTTTTTTGAGAAGTCGGTAACGCGTGTTCCTTTTGTAAAACGAGTAACGGTAACGCGTTCCATTTTTCAGATATAACGAGTAACGGTAACGCGTTTCTTTTTTGTAGTAACGTTTACAGCACTACTTAAAATTTAAAACGAAAAAAATTCATAGTTTTTTATTAATTGTTAATATACAGATCAATAGTATCAATTATTGAATTTTAAAAGAATATAAATCAAGTTAAAAACTACCCCCCCCCCCCCCCCCCCCCCCCGACCCCCAAAAAAATAAAAATAAAATAATTCCTACTCTCTCAAAAAAAATATCTGCCCCAAAAAATCTATACCTACAGCTCAAAATGCCAATACATTTTGGAAACATTTGTCTCCTACCTACCCCGGCCATGTAGACACTTCATGGCTCATAGCAGGAAAATTGGTCAAGGAAAAAGGTGTTTTATCCAATCTAAATATATGAAGGCTGGGAGTGTTTTTAATAGTGTTTTTCGAGACTCATTATTTTTCGCACAAAGGCCCTATATCTCGGGGACCAGGTGTGCATGCTAGCTAAAATAAAAGGCTTTCTCTTTTTTTTAACCTATCATAATAATTCCAGAAATATGTCATAATTTTAAAAGAGGTTGGCTGAATCATGATCAATTTGACATGGAATTTCCCACATTGACAAAACCAATTAATGCTATTTAAAAAAATATGCACTATCTCTTTCGTAAGATTGTTACATTTTCTAAAAAAAATAGCATGCTACAACTATCGCTACTTTTTAGATATATATAAATTTATAATAAAATATTGAGGCCTTATATGTAACTGTAATATATTGCTAGACTTGGCAAAAATCCTAATTTTTTAAAATTTAAATTGCCATTTAGAACAAATAATGCTAATATCTCAACTAAGGTCATAACTATATCCTTTTGTTTAAAGGGGCACTTCGTAGTGGGGGGCGGCACATTTTTTATAAACGCTAACATAATTAGGTTCATTATTTTTAAAATAGGATTCGTTAATATGTAGCTTAGAATTTAATAAATCAAATAAAAAGTTTAAAATATTGTTTTAAATCATTTATTTTTTAAAAATCGGGCAGATTTTAAATCTACCAACCATAATATATTCTGATTTATTATATATAGTTAATTATATAAAATTTTAAATATAAATAATATTACGAAATAAAATGTTTTGAGAAACTCGGAACTAGTGCATTTTTTTTAACATTCCGTTCAACTTCTTTAAAATAAAAAATGGTCCATTCCATTCCATAACATTTTCATTAATATTAATAATCTCGCGTTCTGGAGATCATAACTTTCTCAATATTCCATATCTATCATTAGTAATGTTTTCCAAAATCTAGCTTTCCCATTTTTCTAAATCTGACATATTCCAAACCCCGATTTTAATTAATCGATTTTGTATTTGCTTTTGAAAGGACTCAAAGTTTTCACTTAGCCAATAATTTTTCTCTATAGACATTAGAGTAATGCCCAACCCGGTTAGGTAACGTCTGATGGGCCCGGCTGGGCAAAAAGTAGAGATGCCCTACACGTTAATAGAGAATAGAAAAGAATTTATTCTAAAGCCTAATTTTGTTAAAAAATATTTTTTATTTTGAAATGACGTGCTATTATGATTATTTATTCATAAAAACGATTTCCCTTTCCTAAATTTCATGTTTATTGCTTTAATAACAAAATCATGAAACCGAGATCCTCATCATTATTGTTTATTTTTCTATATGATATACTCCTGGATTTTAAAAACCAGACCGGGCAACCATAATAAAAAAATTGGAAATCGGACCGGGTACAAATTTGGATGCCGGGCAAAAATTAAATCCTAACCGGGTCGGGCCTGAAAATTTTGCTTTGCAGACCTCTAATTAGCATCCCGATGAACTAATAAACCTCTCGACATGATGTATATATTTTTTCTTATAGATAATAATATTTTAGATGCATATATTCGCGTTACTGCTCAACTATAGATGCTCCAATATAATGTCTGATTAGTACTTTTATTAATTCATCAATCAGTTTTTCTAGTTCAATGGATAATTCATTTTTAAGCGAAGTAAAAAAAACCATAGCGGCAAGCCTTAGGCTGATTCTTATATATCATATTTTAAATTGCCATTCTAAAATCAATTACGCCTTAATACATTAGTTTCATTTTTCTCGATTTAAGATATTATTGAATCTTATGTTTCTACAATATTTATAGATATTATTGGTCCTTTTATGTTTAATAGATATAAAAGTAAGATAATTAAAATGGAATTACGATTTATATTTTCAGCAATCTTAAGCATAAAGTTTTTGCCATATTTTGAAAGCACTAATTCTAGGAAAAACAAAAATATGAATGGATTGAAAGGATCAACTACATCAGCCTTAGTAAAATTCGAAATTTAAATTGTGCTCTTGTATTTCTCCAAGAGATATATTTTTGATTATAAGTTTTATTTATACAAATTTTTATTGTTTATTATTTTTGCCTTTTTTAATTTTTTTTATATAAATTTTATGTTATTATAATAAACAGGATCTAATTTTGACGGAAAATAAAACTTGGCTTTCTAAATAATATCTATTACATTATTATTGTTTTTATTTTTTATATCATTATCCTATGTAATTGTTTTAAAAGAATTGAGAATCATCTGAATCAAATCATAAGGGTTTAGTAAAGTTAAAAATACTCTATAGATTATTAAAAGTTTCAATAATATAATTAAGTTTTCATTGTATTTGCTTAAATTTTTTTGATTTGCTAAATTTTTTTTTTACCGAAACCCTATATAAATTTGTTTAACATCAACGAACATAATTTATTTAAAGCTTCGTGTTATAACAATCAAGTAATTAGACGTGTTATCTATTTTTATTTTAATTTAAATTATTTTATTTATTACAACTTAACGATAATGACGTAATAACAACTTTTAGTTATGGCCTTCGCCTTGAATAAAAAATAGTTTACTTTGTTTAAAAATACGAATTTGTCCGATTTCGACGTAAATTGATTTCTTTATTTTTTTTAAAGTATTATATCCTGCTGATATAATTTGGCAAAAAAATTTTATTAACTAATTTAATTATTAAGCTTATTAAATTTAAAAGATATTTGTTTAAAATAATATATTTGTTGGTAAAATTTTTGAAACTTGAAACGCTACTCCCAAATAATTTTTAAATTTTATATTCTCACTATTATTTATATTCTAAATCTGCAGTTATATCATCACCGTGATATGCTAGCTACCCGAATCAATAGAGATCAACTCGTTTCATTGACACAATCAGTTATGATGAATGATATTGACCCTGAATCATTAACAAAAGATAACCAAAAATCCCAGGAATCACTTATTTCTATATATGATTTGGATCATCTTCCCAGTAAACGCCAAATATGGGAAGAATCTGAACACCAAAATATCTCTACTTTTCAAAAATCTCCAAAGAATAATTTTTATAACGATGCTTTACATATCCTTAAAAATACATCTCCAAATCCCCAGTCTAGCGATTTTTATAACCAATTAACGGAATCACTTAAAACTGGATATGATAAATCGAAGTCCGAATTAAGGCACATCATAATTGACGGAAGTAACGTCGCTATGAAGTAAATCATTTTATAAATTATTGCATAGATAAGGTAAGAAAAGAAATAAATTAAGCAAAAAATATTTTTGCATCAAATAATATTTTTTAACCTATATTTATTACTTATTATACACATAATAGTCACGGCAACAAAAGAGTATTCTCATGTAAAGGTATCGAGATATGCGTAAATTGGTTTACTTGCAGGGGTCATAAAGACGTTACTGTATTTGTTCCTCAGTGGAGGACAGAAGTTTCTAAAGATGAGACCTCGATACGAAGTTTTTTTTTACTGAACTTATATTTAAAATACTAGGTTAATTATAATTTTATAGTATATTTTATTTATAAATAAGCTTAAAGGCCTACGCTCAGAGGCGGATTGGTCATAAGACCAAGTGGGCATTTTGCCTACGAGGCCGCGAGAAAATGTCGATTTTTGAGGCTGATCAGAAAAAAGAGGGCAATATTATATTTTTTTATCATATAAGTTATGACTTTTCATATTCATATATTTTTAAGATTTGTTTTACTATATCTCTTTTTTATAGATCATACTATTATAAGTTTTTTTTATCATTTAAAATAAAACAATCCGTATACGTTTAAATAAAATTTTGATAATTTACATTTTTAATTCCTTATTAAAATAGAATTTAATTGGCTTTAAAATAATAAATGAGAAGAACGACAGATTTGCAATAATATCCATGTAGCAGGACATATATTTGATTGAGATATTATGTAACAATGTATCCTACAAAGGATCAAACCACCATGGAAATTTTGAAAATTTAAATCATGTGAATAGGATGATAAGAATTATGTTAAAAATGATAAAAATATAGAGACTACTTAAGAAGGTTATTTTTAAGAGGAAACCTAGAAAAGAACTGAAACATTCCGATAAATCAAAATTCAAGGGAAGAGGTTCTCTAATAACTGTTGTCAAAGGCAACCGTTTATAAAATAATTAATGCTATGCAGGTAAAATTAGATTTAAGTTTTTAAAAAAGGAAATAAGTAACTAATGAACAAATATATAGTAAACAAGACATCGCTCATTAGATGAATCAAATAAATGAATGGACGCTCCATCCTTGCAAATAATTTATCTGTCCAAAGTAAGCCGTCAATGCGCCAAAAAATAGGAGAAACAAAATAGTGGGCACATGGAGCCTTAAAGTTATATGGCGAAGTCTCGATTAAATGGGCTATAGATAATTAATAATAAATCGTTTGAGGCGAGAACCTCATTGAGAATTGCAAATTCAAAAAAAATTTTGAGAAAATTTGAAATAATTGAGCAGTTCTTGTTATAATCTCAGACTAAAAAAGTTATTTTATCAGTTTGAAAAATGATTGAGGGTGCCAATCATTCAAAATATAGTTATAAATATAACTACAATTTTGAATGAAAAGGATTAAAATATAGCATCTACAAATAAAAAGAAATATTAAGAAGTAAAAAGTCGAAAAAGGAGGTTGTATAGAGATGAAACGTCCTAAGATCCGATGGACATCTATAACTGTTGAAGTATTTCGTTCTATAATTGATCAAATTGTTTGACAGAAAGATTTTCTGCGAATAAAGAGCTTATAAAGAATTTGCAATATGGGTATCGAAGCATATAAATAAAATAAATATCAAAGGTGTATTTAAAACCTTGAAGAAAATATAAATGTATCCAGTGACAAATTACGATCTTTATTTGCCCGTATTTATAAAAATTAAATAGTCAGGTTAAATGAAAATACTGACGATATAATTTATGAGATTGAGATGTCTAAATGAAATAATACAAGATAATAATAACCTTATATGTTTGAGACTCTTTTACCCTATAATATGCACCCCAGGATTGTAAAAATAATATTTATTCTAGGAGTTATATAAGGATATTTTAAGTTTCATATATTTTATTAAGTCTAGTGATTAAAATATTGGTAATTTCTTACAAATTCAAATATAAATTAATGATAAAATATGTTACCATCAATATGTTTTTCCAGAAATTGTTATTTTTTCAACTTTAAATCTATAAAATTATTAAGGAGAAATTGAGGCAATCCTATATCTTCACAATTTATCATTTGAAATCAATATGCAGAATTAATATTCAATAATCGAATAAATATGTATTCGCTGCAATTTTATTTTAGCCTTCCTCGGCTCCCTTATTTTCATTGGCAAATTTAATAGATACAAACAAGAGACTAAAATTATTTTTTATTTAAAAATTAGTCCATTGCCGAATGCTTAAAATGATAATCCTTGATTGTTATTAATAAATTAGACAATAAGACATTAATTAACTAGTTTACATCAATAATTTAATATACAGCCTTTTTTGGACTTTACAAAGGATCAATAAAATTCATTAGGCATTTTCCCATTTATCATTTATTTTTTTAAATGTAACGAAAAGCTTTTTGTAACCGTTAAATCTTCTAAATAAAGGTATCGTTAAGTTTTTCAAATTACGTGACCAACCCTAGATCAGCGTCAAAGAGTCTCACAGACATATAAAGCATTGATTACACGTTTGTTATTGCACACTTGGTAGGATTATTATTATCTTATGTTATTTCATTTAGTTAGATTCCTCACTCATAATTATATCGTCAATATTTTTATTTAACCTATTTAATTTTTGTAAATATACATCTAAATTTTCTTCTAGGTCATTTTAAATATTAGAGATAAGTCCGATTTGCGGACGTCTCATTATTATACAACCTCTTTGTTTGAGATTTTATTTTTTTAAATTTCTCTTTATTTATAGATGCTATATAACTGTTTTTAATTAGCAATCTTTTCATGAATTGGGGAAAAAAAAATTTTAATATTTTTTTTTGATGCTTAGAACCCTTGAATCCTCCAATTTAAAAAATGATCCGAGTTTGGGTTAAGCAAAATACGAGGGTGTTCACATTCCTGGTTATCGTCTCATAATTTTTTTTTTTCTTTTAGGACATTTCCAAACGTTTTTTCAAGGCGATTTTTGAGGCATGTTTTCAGCTAATATTTTATTTATTTTCAAACGAAGGATAATATTGTCGAATTAATTTTTTTATATAATATAATATTTTTAAAAACGTAACCTCCGGATTTCAGACGCCATTTAATCTTTATTAAAGTGAAATTCATGGTCAGGACAGGACACCCTCTAATCCAAAGATGTTTACACATATGTATAATGTAAAAAATATTTAATTATATAGGTTAATTATTAAATTTGTCAAAATATATTTTATAATTATAAATATTATATTTTCCTTGTTAATATATATTTTTTAAACATTCCTCCTTATAATAATTTATTCTTATATTTTGTACTTCTCTCGCATGGGGTTATCTTCAACTGATAAATCTGAGTATAAATCAAGCTTTAAATAAATCACAAATATTTCAATATTCGATAATTTAAATCTGGAATGAATTGAGAGCAACTATATTCAAAAATCGAGGACTATTTTAAATATCAATCATGGACAGAAATGTCCAGGTCAAAAAGACTGGACAAAATCCAAATTTTCAAAAAAAATTAATTTTAATGGTTTCTCCTTAATTATCAATTATTGACTTGTTATTAATATAGATTCAATATTTTCAATATTTTAACTAATTTAGCCTTTAATTTAAAACTAATTATTTAACATTAATAAAAGGCAAAAATAACTAATTTCTGTACTTTTAATCCCCATTATCTCAAGTAATATAATTGCTAATGAGCTAAAATTTCTTTTTTGATATAACTATAACATATAATGTGCCTACAGATTTTTTTTTATCGAAATTGAAAGGGGTAAGCCGATAATCTCGATTTTCTTGCTTTTTTGACTTGGAATGACATTATACTGTTTTTAAATTGGCTTGAAATTTATCAAAAAATTATATCTTATACGTAGTATTATATAAAAAAAATTAGATCAGGAGATATTGTATCGATTAGAAAATGAGAAAAAATTAGTCTTCACTCCATCCCGAAAAGTGTTAGTCTTTGACGATGTGAATTCTGAATCAAACTTCTCGGAAGATATGCCAGAGCCAGATGATTGCAAAAAGTCGAATACTAAGCCCAAATACAAAAGAATCATTTGTTACGATGATAGGTACATTTTTGCTATAAATAATAAATTAATAATATAAAGGTATGAAAGAGTTGTGCAATACGGCGTTTTGTATCTTGTACTCTATCTTTTCACATTTTTGATGAGATACTTATATCTGTAGATACTATGTTTCAAGAATTTTTTTTCATTTCCTTGATATAAGATACAGATACTTTTTTATTTTTAAAATTTATTATTTGACTTTTAATATTTTTTTTCCGTCTATTCTTCAGTAATTTTATTGTTTTACTTTCCTTTTTGTTTAAAATTTTTTTTTTATGTTTATGTTTCTTTTTTTAAAATTACATTTATATAAATGATATAATAAGATTATTTTATTATAGTCGTCAAAATATCATGTTTTTGTTAGTGTTTTAGATAATTTAACAAAATTTTGGATATGGATATCATTTATTTTAAATTATCTTTCTACTTGTTGAAATATTTAACATATATATATGCATGGTATTTTTTTATGTATTTCTGTTAGTTGGTATATACTACATCTACAAAAATATGAATCGAATATTTGCATTATTCTTTTCGAATCGAATAATTATGGGTCATTCTACGTAAAATCAATCACGGTTCGGTTGACACATGTGAAAATTCGTATATAAACTAAGATTCTAATCTATACTTGGGAATAATTTTGCCCTCCTAGCTTTTATACCTTTGGAGATATCTACTAAAGTCAAAGCATGTAAAACTAAAATTGCCTTTTTTGCGAGTGTATGTATATATTAATTTAATGATTGATTAAAAATACCCAATAAATCTAGTATCAAAATAAAGAATATACTTTTTTTTAGAAAATTAAATTAAAAAATTATTTTTATAAATATCTACACATCTTATTTCCAGAATAAAATTTAAAATATCATAAAGAAAATTGGGTAAACCCGATTTTATAAAACTTTAGATAAACATTACTATCACCATTCTATATGTGTATAAAAAAAATTAGATGGGCTCTAAATGATTTGTTTACCAAAATCGATGAAAACTAATAAAAAATGAAAAAATATATTTATACTATATATGGCGTTTAATTTTGATTAGCATAATATTCTAATAATGTCTTTATTTGATTATTTTTATATATCTATAACGTTCCTATCCAACAGAAGAGCTACTTTTATACTATGTATATTTTTCATTTTAATAGTTTTTATCGAATTTGCTTATGAAATCGTATAGGCACCACTAAAATATTTTTCTACTCAGATGGAATGGTAATAGTAATGTTTATCGGTTTTACCCATTTTTAATTCTTAAGATTTTAAATTTTATTCTGGGAATAAAAGGTCTAAAATTTTTGAATAATTACTTTTACTTTCTAATGATAAAACATATTCTTTATTTTGATATTAGATTGTTATATACTATGATAGCCCGTCAAGAATGACGGGGAATTAGAATTTTCTCCTTATGGATAAATAATAAATTTTACCATCAAATGACGATGGATGAATCAGAATAGTCAAATGAGAGGAATAGATTATCCATATTCATTCTTCCAAGATTTCTATAAATTTTTAGAGAAAAGGACAAATATATTATGGAAAATATGGAATAAAAAAAAATGATTTGTTAGTTATGATATTTATCAATTCTTTTAACAAATTTTCCACATTCAGATGCAATGGTTTTTGCTCTCTAACTTCTTATTCTACATTCATCTCAAAGAATCATTTAAATGCTTTTAAAATCTTCCTAGATACTCCTTTAAAAAAAGACCTGCCATCATAGATTCGAATCAATTATGGGGGCAAACCTGATTATCTCATAAACACTGTGATGGTATCCACCTCATTGCGATGAGCTATTTAGAAGATTATTAGCAAAAATAATTGCCATGGGGTCAAGACCCAGGGTTTTAATTTATTAAGTTTATATATCATTTAGGATTTGGTGTTAAAGGAGAAGGCAAAATAGCTTCACATGCCATTTGTATTATATCCAAAGATCCCCCTCCTAACCTGGCTATTATCAAAGTAGACTTTAAAAATGCTTTCAATAGTAAATTTCGTGAACATTTCATAAATTGTTTTTATACCAAATTTCCTGTTTATTCAAAATAGCTCCTTTATTCAGCCCACATGTCATATATTCTGACGAAAGGATTCAGAAGGGGGCACACGTTTTACCTTAATTCATTATCAAAATACGGTAAATTTCTGATTCACACCTCATATATGCTTATTCCTGATTTATTCATCATTAAAATACGGTAAATTTCTGATTCACTCTCATATAGGCTTATTTCTGATTTATCCAACATCAAATTAAGGAGAATACTAATTCATTGTCATTCTTGTGGGACATCAGCTAGTAATCATATAAATACAAATATTTATTAGATTGTAAGAATGGATCTTTCCTGAAGGTTTTTTTATTAACAATGGAAGCCACAAAGCACTCCTCATATGGATCCATTCTTCAAGATGATCTTTATTATAAGAAATATATATTTTGATATAGGTACAGGGGTTATGCCTTATTTTAATTTTTTAAATATACCCGGGGTGGGCCTAAAAATTTTAAAGATACCCAGGTCGGGCTGTATATTTTACATAGCCATTATTATCTATAAAAATTGAAAAAAAATCCAGACCGGGCCATGGCAAAAATTATTTTAAAACAAAATTCAGGGCGGGCTGTGCAAATGGTACCTACAGGTCTGATATATCTTTTACCTTTAATATAAATATATAATCGAAACATATAAATTTTTATTATATTAATTACATAAAATCTGTAAACTGTATTTTTGTGCTCAATAAAAATATATTCCTAAATGAATTTTTATACATTCATTTGCAATTTAAAACCTAAAAAAATTATTCTTGCTAGATTAAAGTTTTTTTTACCTAACTTAAATCCGCCTATTCTATGGATAAACTGAAAAATATTGGGTTGGTGATTGGGAGGGTTAAAAAATATCTTTAAAACAATGGGTAGGTGAATTTGAAATATATTTCAGGCAAACAACTGACTTCTATTTATTATTAGATATTATTTTGTATTTCATAATTTATAAGTTTAAGTAAAAAACATTAAAATAATACATAAAGAGCCAAATCAACCAATGTAGTAATTTTTAAACATTGGATAGGTAAGTTAAACAAAATTATTATATAAATGAGCAGGCAGGTGCATCACAACTTGCCCATTAAAGATCTCTAGTTAGGATGACATCGAAACAGCAGATCATAATGGATTTTACCTCTACCAAAGAATCCATTTATAAGTGATATGCGTCTGCCACTTTTAATTTCCCATGCATTTACCACCAGAGGTCTGCAAATGACAACATTTTCAGGCCCAATGGGAATTTAGTTAATGCCCATCCCAATGGACGGAACCACCAAGTTGGATTAAGAAAATAAAAAACCAAGTTGGATTAAGAAAAAAAAATGATGTTTGCTGGATTCGAACCCAAGGCCATCAGATTTGTAAGCGACGCGCTTGCCGATTAGACCACAGGCGTTTTTCAAAATTCATGATTTTTTAAATATATATTATAAATTATGACACTATGAGTGTGACACGGCTTTTATAAATATTATAGATATTTGTGTAAATCAATCATTAATTTAATAATTAAAGGCACTTGCAAAAAAGGCATTTTTTTTAATACTTTGACCTTAAATATTTTCAAAAGTATAAAAGCTAGCAGGCTAAAATTTTGCCCAATTATAGATTACAAGAACCTTAGGGGCCATTCCACATCAAATCGATCACGATTCGGCCGACCCCTTTTAAAATTGTTAAAAATTTCTGGAATAATTTAGATAGTTAAGAAAATGAGAAAGCCGTTTATTTTAGCTCGCTAGCACATTTGGTTCCCGAGATATAAGGACTCAAAGGTGCAAAAAAGAGCCACTTTGGAATCTGTAAAATTTTTTAAAATGCTTATATCTCAAAAACTATTTATAGTAAGATAATATAGAATATATCAAATTGTAGGTAAAAAAAATCTCTAAAGAGCTATCAAAAAACAATAAATATTGGCGCCAATTTTAGCCTTTAACCTCCGGTTTATATTTTGCTTTACCAGTGTTTTTAAGCAAAAAAAGGAGTTTGTTTTCGAATATTTTTTTTTGCTTTTTATTTAGACACCTTTGCTAAATATATATACGATAACAAAACCTTGGCAACGCTATCGACTCTAAAAATTGATGAAAAATAGATGGCGCTTTATGAAATTACAGATTATGGTTAACATTTTGCTGCTAACTTATCAATAACCGGATATTTTCACCTTTTATACTAAAATATTTTGAATTTCTATTAAATATACTAATTAAACTGAGGAGCAGAGTGGGCAAATGCCCATTAGACACTTACTAATGTAACAAATTTCCAATAATAAATATCTTTCATATAATTTTTTAATTTTTAAGATATCTAGAATTTCATCGAATTTTTCATCTGATGAAGATAATGATTTAATTTTAGTCGTTAAAACTTTTTTTTACTCTAGATATTTTTTTCTTCGAATATTTCTTTTCCCATAAGCGTTTTCTTTTAATGAGAGATTCCCCATTTGATTGTAGGGATATATTAATATTATCAATAGCCTCTTGATTAATTATATGAGGGGGAGAATCAATATCTACATTGTCATTTGAAGTTTAAGGAATGTTTGCTAATTTTTGTCGGCATGAAAAGCATATTAATATATCTAAATTGAATGGTAAATTTTTTTGGGTCATCCAGGGTAGAATCTTTCTTAGATTCTCGCGATAATAAGCATGTCTCTGTAGATTAAATGGGTTGCAACATTTTAATATTTGGTACGCCCATCTGTGATATAGAATAAAATTTTAATTGATCTGCACATAGAATATATGTTTTTGCACTCTCCAAATCCATAATGTTATTGGTGGACAGACGATAAAATAATAAGTGCAGACGGGTTGAATTATTTAAAATTAATGAACGGACAAGTTAAAAATATTACGCAGAAAGAGAGATCGTTTTAAACAGTTTATTTTGAAAAATCGATAATATGCCTAATAAAATATTCGTTTTTACTGCAGCTGTTGTACATTATCGAGCTAATAAGTCATTCGCTATAGTAGCAAAGTAGAGGTCTAAAAAATGTAAAACATTTTAAGGATGGTGGGGGGGGGAGGCAGAATTGGAAAATTTTATCACATTTCTTATAAACGTATCAATATTTTCATTTTCCTTAAGAATAATATTTTCCAACCATTAGCGCCATCTACCTTTTTCTTCAATTTTTGGTAAAAATGTAAATTTCAGAAAAGTCGATGGCGTCGCCAAGGTTTTGACATAGTATATATATTTATAAAAAGTGTCTAAATAAAAAGCAAAAAAAAATTTTCGAAAACAAACTACCTTTTTTGCTTAAAAAATACAGGTGAAGCAAGAGAGGTAAACCGGAAGTTAAAGACTCAAATTGGCGCCAATTTTTATTGTTTTATGATAGTCCTTTAGATATTTTTTTTATTTACAATATGATATATTATACATTTTTTTACTATAAATAGTTTTTGAGATATAAGCATTTTAAGAATTTTACAGATTCCAAAATGGCTCTTTTTTGCACTTTTGAACCCCTATATCTCGGGAACCAGGTGTGCTAGCGAGCTAAAATAAACGAATTTCTCATTTATATACCTATCTAAATAATTCCAGAAATTTTTAACAATTTTAAATGGGGTCGGCTGAAAATGTGCCTTTTTCGATCGATTTGACATGGAATGGCCCTTAGTTTATATACGAATGTTCATCTAAATTAAAAGGGTTCGACCGTGTGTCGTGTTTTTTTGGTAGGTGTGCCATGGAATGAGAATAATAAAACCTTTCGATTTGATTTATCAATATTAGATTCGAAAATTAATTCTTCAAAAAAATTTTCAAATATGAAAAAATGATTATTAAAATTTAAAAAAGTGATTTATAGATGTGAGTAAAAAAAAGAGTTCCTTAAGGAACATGTTAATACTTGAGAATAATTTTCAATATTTACAAATTTTTTGGAAAATACGAATTATTTGTTCCTTATTTGTATTCGATTTGAATTTTCTAATCAATAATTTTGTTATTCGTGTTCGTAAAATACGAATCGACCCAACGAATAATTCGTTTAGATATAGTCCATAAATCTCTCCATTTCTACCCTTATTGGGTAACAGAATATTTTTACAGTTGGTTAGGAAAACGATAATACTGATTTTTATGAACCAAGAGGTTATATTGACCTCCTCATCGACTTTATGACTCTTATTTCGTAAAAGAAATTTGTATCTAAGAAAGAAAGAAAGAAAAGCTATCTATATCTAGTTTCTTATTTCTAAGACTTACTCAACTCTCAAGATGGTATCATAAATTAGTTAGGAAACAAACTTTTCTTTTTCTTCAAAAATTGTGTAAAATAAAATTATTTAAGCAAAATAGAAATACTAAAAATTAAAATTATAGGAAATTATATAACTCTAATAAAATTAAAATTAATATTTAAGATTGAAATGCTCTCATTTTTATTCACGACTACAAATACAATAGATACATTATCAAGTTTGCCCTTGAAATGGACGGCATAATAGTCTCCAATGATAACTATAGAGATCTAGCTATGGAATCGCCATGTTTTGCAAGGGTCATCGAAAAAAGGCTCCTCATGTACACCTTCATCAATGACAAGTATATTCTTTAATTAAATTAAATGGAATAAGCGATTGAAAGTAGTAACATTAATACAATCGTTTTGTACAGAATTTTTTATTGAAATATGTTTTATTAAAATTTGTTGCAATGAAATAGATATTTTCTTTAATTCAAATATGTTAAGATTTATGCCTCCGGATGATCCATTGGGTAGAAATGGACCCAACATAGATGACTTTTTGTGCAATCTTACATCAACCCCATTGTCTCCTAATTTACAACAAAGTCAAGAAAAAAAAGATATAGTTTTACCTGTTTGCCCATATGGTAATTAATCAATTCACGAGGTCCTCACATTAGGAAATTTGTTTAAATAAATTTCGCTTAATTTCAAAAAATCAGAATTATATTTTTTTGGCACTATTGGATGGCACGCATGTTAAAAATAAATCTATGAAATATACATTTTTAATTAATCTCTATTTATTTTCAGTATTGTGACAAATAGTGTTGCTAAACGACCCGATTTATATCGATTTTTAAACACGGCCCGAATAAGATTTTAGCTAAAATAATATTATGTAAGCCTGGAGATTTTGCTCATAGGTGTCAGAAAAGTTTGGACCTCTATTTGTTATATCTTGAGGCTTACATTATATTATTTTGGCTAAAATCTTAATCGATTCATTTTTAAAGTTTAAACCGGTAAAAAATATCTTCTAATATGAAATTTTAACAAAATTTAAATAACAGCATTAATTTAAAACTAAAAATATAATCATTTCTTGATTATTATAAAAAAATGAAGGTCCCAAATGTACTTACGGTAGCAAATGTAAATTCGATCATCCAGAGAAAAAAAGCAAATCTCGTAAACAGGTTACCGAAAAGCAAGCCGTTCAAGCTATGAAAGAAATGGAAAAATTTTTACTAAAAGAAAAAATAGGTTTTCTTAAATATACTCATATCATGAATCCAAGGCCGTTATTTCAGACTTTTTAGAAATTGCTTATTGCAAGACCAAATTTGAGGATTAAATAGATTTAATAGCCAATCGATAACTGGCCATGTTTTAATGGAATTTTGTTTATGATGCATAATTTACAACTTATATATTATTTTTTATAGGCAAAAAAGCTCTCTGCAGGACTTTCTCGCTTCAAACTTCACCAGCCTTATTTAATAATGACCAGTGTAACAAGCAAAACCTATGTTTTAACCAAACAACTAACAACCATTTAAAAGTTACTTCCCATCAGCAAACACTTTCTTTGGTTGACTCCAAAAAAGGTCCTTCATTCGAGCACTTCAAATTTAGACACAACAATAGTCTAAAGCAAACGGGAAATAAAATAATGAACGAATACCCCGATAAATTCGCCGTCTCACCAAGCTCTTCTATTGATAACAAAGTGAAACTTCAATCCAAATACAGTTTACCCAATTACAATCAAAACGTTATTCAAAGCGATAAATTAATTTTTAATTCACCATTCAACACAATTTATAACACATATCTACACGGAACCAATAAGAGATATTTAGGCAAAACTGCAAGCGATCCCTTTTCCAGCTTAAATCGCCAACTCAAACCTAATACTGATTTGTTTTCACAGTATGGTGACTCTCCTTCTCACACCAATATCAGTTACAAATTTCCTTACAACGTTTCTCTACATCCGCCTAGTACTATATTCTACCAATCCAATACCCCAGTCTTGCCACCCTCACCATACGATACTTGTTTATCCCATGCACCCGATGATTTTTCAGCACTCTCACAACATTTATCGTCCCTTAATATCTCGACTTCTTCACATTTTTTTCCGCAAACAATGAAAGTCACTGCTCATCAAACATTTCAACCCCTTTGCTCTAACGCAAATTACGATTTAGTTTCTCTCCAATCCGCCCAAAATGCTTTTGGTGGTGATAATCCTGAACCCTTATTAAAATCTCTTACCCAGTTAATAAATTTATTTTTAATTAGATTTAATCAATATCATGATAAGATAACTGACTAATGATAATTTGGAAACAACTAAAAGGTCTTAGATATTTTGTAATTGTTTAATTTATCTTATAATATAAAATTTTCTCTACAAAAATTTTAATTTAAAACAGAAATGACAAATCCCCAATATCTTCCTTACCACTGAATATATTGGGTTTTTTACACAGCTACGAAAATCAATGTGACCTAAATTTCCAAAAAACGAGTAACTACTTATAAGAATTGTTTATTAAAAATATTACTTTTTCCGAAATTTTTGCACAATATATTTTATTACTTTTTCCGAAATTTTTGCACAATATATTTTATTACTTATTGAAGGTCAACGATCTTTGCAGTCTCGGTATTCAATCTGATCTTGGAAATTATAACTGATCAGGTTTTTGCATTGACCCGAACTATTTTTTCTTACTCGTATTTAAAAGATTAATTAAAAAAAATTTTAAAAAAAGAGGATTTTAACATTATCCATAAAAGTATTAATTATTTTCTTCTCACAAAATCGAATTGATTATTATAACATTGTTCGTTCTAACCCAATATTATATTATTTGTAGTCCTGGAAATAATGTATTCTTCGATTATTTGAATTAAATTACAGATGTTTAGCTAATTTTGAACCGAAAAATTTAATATTTATTGATAAAAAGTTTAAGCATTTCGATTTTTTAAAAAATGTTATTTTGCATTCATATTTGAATGAATGAATTCAATATTTGTTATGAGGTCTATTTGTTTCCTAACCATAATCACTCCAATAAAAATGGAATATCATAAGCGAAGATAATTTCTCCTGAAAAATTGGGAGTTATATAAAAAATTATTAGGGAATATTTTTCCGGGGAATTATTCCGTGATTCGTACCTAACCACTAAACTAGTATGAAATGAATCGTTAATATTGTTTCATTTTTTAAAGAACTATAATTTTGCCTATATTCAATTTAATATTCAATATCAACCCTAACCCTTATATTTAGAGCTGTGCCGATATTAAATATAGAATCGGCATCGATATTTAGCGTTTTCAAAAAATATCGGTTTGGACCGATGTCTTTTTAACCTATCCGATATTTTTTTAATTGTTTTTGATTATTTTATGATTTAAATTTAATCGTATAATTTTTTTTTATTTTATAAATAACATGAAAGTTACACCATTTTTTATTTAATTATCTGCAACAAGTGTTGTTAAACGGCACTATTAATTTTAAAAACGTTTAACTCAAGATTTGGTCAAACTAACTCAAGCTTATTGATTTTGCCCACAGATGGCAGAAAGGTTAAACTTCTATTGGCTAAATTTCGAGGTTTAGGTAATAATATTTTGGAAAAAAATCATGATTTAGCCCTTTTTAAAAATCGGCCAGGAGCTGTTTAACAACACTACATTCACCGATAAACATTGCAAATATTTAAATATGATTAACTTTTGGAGAATAAAAATAAAATTCATTCATGATAGTTGGTTTTTTTAAATAGAAAATATTGATATTTTTATGACATTGATAAGCAGCCATATGGCTGCTCCTACCTCTATCTAGCTGAATTAGCTGTCACAATAAATTATCTGATTATGATTATAAATAAAATCAAACCGACCAATTAGCAGTCATAGCATGGCTGTTATAAATTTTTTTATAAATATCGGATCACGGTTTATTCGGGTCTTTGAATTAAATCCGACTGTTATTAATTAGAAAAGTGGCCTTCACTAATTACATGGCCACGGTCGAGATATAACATCCAGACCGTAATCCCAAAAGCCCTTGAATCTATATTTTTACCTAATTTTCATTCATTTACATTGGTTGATTTTAGGCTTATTAAAATCCTACATATTAACGATAATGTCCTATTTCTCCTTTTTTGTCTAAAATGAATTTTAAAAAATCAAATTATCAAAGTTATTGTTGAATATTTAATTGTATTAACTTAAAAATGAAATACATTGTTTCTTCCTATAAGCTTTTAAAATTGGGCAGCAATTGGCAACTGGCCTAAAAAGCAATATGGCACCTAACCATAGGCGGGCTCGGTCCTAACCCATTTTGCAGGTCTCTAAAGCTTATTTTCACAATACAAGAAACCATTTTATTTCTATGTGAACGATAACATAAAATTATTTTTATTTATGGCTAGATCTGCTTAATCAATCCCACACCAGTCCTACCTCAAATTACAATAATTCCAAGGTAACCGATCATTACATTAATTTAGAAGCTAATAATGGACCCACAACGAACAATAATTACGATGGCCTGAACAGGATCTTTAATAATAATTTCGAAGCAATCGATAAAAAGCATGAGTTGTATTATCACCTATCTTCACTATTTCCCGAACATCAAGTTCGATATGTCATGAAGCTTTACCCTGAGCTTACTGATGCTAAAATTTTGTGTTCCATTTTGTTAAAGATGTGAAGCAATGATTTCGACAGTATTTACTTCTAAAAAAAAATTATTTCCTATATAATATTAAGTAAAAATATTATAAAATATTTGTAAAGGGATACGCAAAATTCTGAATCTTAAATCAGTTAGATTTCAAGATTCTATATACAAAAATATATCTAGTCTATAATTTAAAATGTATAAAATTTATTTTCATGAGAAGTAATCTTTATTTGTTTGTATAAAAATTCGACTACTATTATTTATATTATTACAAAATAAAAAATGTATAATTTATTTGCTAATAATATTTTGAAATTTTATATACAACCAAATCATCCATATTATGCATTAGTATATCAAATTTTTATTAAAAATATGAAAATAAAACTGTTATAATAAAAAATAAGTAGAAAAAATCCGTTTGTTCGTGCATATAAATTTATTTATATGAATATGACAGATATATTTAAAAACTAATATTCATATTTATTTGTTAGTTGAACTTGTATCTCTAGATTTATAGAAATACCCTCTACTTTTTAATTCTCTGATAATTCCATTAGGTAATTTTCCTGATACCGAGACAGCATAACATCCTTTTGTAAATTTATCTTAAAAAATATAGAAATTTAATTTAGCTGTTTTAAATATACATAAATATGATTTAAAGATTTTATTGATTTAAAAAAATAGTAATGATACATTGAGCCTAATTTTCCAAACCCGACCGACCCGAATTTTTTAAATGATTTGTTCCAACGCGTCATGAACAAAAAAATGGTTATCCCACCAGCCACCAGATTTAAAAGAATTTCGCCCAAGATAAATTTTTTAAGTTTAATAATTTCCCCCTATTATTTTTTAAAATTTGCAGAACTTTCCCGCATGTCTAAGTTTCCTAATAATATTTATGTTCTATTTAAATTTATATTAAAAACATAGAATTAGGATTAATTAATAAAATAAATGACTTTGAACTGCGCATTTAACAAATGTTTATATATATAATGTTAAAAATAGATTAAGTGTTAGACAATTCATTATGGAGATGCCGGATATATTATTGTTTATATTAATTTATATTTGTTAATATTTATTCGTATCTCATATTAAATATATATTTAATTACATTTATTATCACACTAAGTTATTTTATCAATTAATTTCGATTTCAAGTTTTCCGGCGTAATATTTACTTATAATTTTCAAATTTTTGGTGGCGTAATATTTATCTACCATTTTCAAATTTCTAGTTAAATAATAATTATTTCTGAAACTTCTTGTCCAACAGGGAAAAAGAAATTGCAACGTTGTCCAACAAGATAGTCTGCCATCAAGCAGTAACAGCTTTTAAGGAGTTAGAAGAGCCAATTATTTGCTATTACTGAAATATCACAATGGCCTGAAAGAAATATTTTCTCAGAAGCAAGAAAATTATTGGATTCAATGCTTATTCCAAATTTTATTTCTCATTAGAATGTATTATTTAATTATACAACTATTTTAAGTATTACTTTTCAAAAACGTGACATTGACTTGATTAAGAAGATGAGAATAGCGGAGAGCATTTTATCAGAACTCAAGGAAATTAGGGCTAATGTTGATGAAGAATTTCATATTTTATTGTTGAGTCAAAAGCAGAGCTATACGTGTTCAATATTTGTCTCCCTCGACTTGTAGTAAGGCAAGCTCATAGTTTAAACATTAATATAGGATCAGTAGAAGAGTATATCTTAAATACAGACACATTTATAACCCAAATAAATGAATTTTTAATTCATCATGCAGCACTTACTATTCTGCAAATATTACTTCCATAAAAGCCTTCCCAACCTTTTTCAGATGGTGATAGAAAAAAATATTTGTTAGATTTTTATTATGAAGATGTTAAAGTATCTTATGATGCCTTACTAGCTGAATAACTATGTTTATAAGATTAACTATGGTTGATTTAGTCCCAAAAAATGCTATGGATGCTCTGCATTATTTCAAACACATTTTAAATTAAATTCCTAATGTATTAAAAGGGTTTATAAACTCTTCCCATTAGTAAAGTAATGAGAGAACATTCTCTTTTTTAAGAATAACAGAGGCCTGCAGAAATACCATTTGCAGGGCATGGCCCGGATTTTTTTTAAAGATTTTTTACGGCCCGGCCTGGGGTTTTTTTAAAAAAATTTCAGGCCCGGCCTTTTTTTAAAATAAATTATATTTATTTTTGATTTTTATAGCTAATATAATAATAACAATTTCATTCCATGTCAAATCAATCACTTTTCGGCCGACCCCTTTCGATTTCGATGAAAAATCGTAGGCTGGTTATATATGTTCCCATTAGATTATAAACAAAATTTTAGCGGATTGGCAACTATATTAGCGGAGATATTCGGGGTTAAAGGTCTAAAAAACGTCTTTTTTTGCTTTTTACTGATGTTAAATAACTAGTTTTTAATTTTAAACTAAATATGATCAAATATTGAATATAATATCAATAGCTAAGTTAATAATTGATGATTATGGCGAAAACATCAAAATTAATTTTTGATAAAATATGGGTCATCTTATTGTCAGTTGAAAACTTGAAATTAATATTTCGAAATGTATATAATCTCCGATTTTTAATTTTTTTAAGAAACATTATCCGTTCACTATTTTTTTAATAATTTCTTCAACAATTAGCATGGCTGGATATTTATTTTAAAAAATATTGCGATTTTTATACTTTAAAAAAAATAGATGGCGCTATATATAATAGTTTTAATATGTTAAAATTCATTTTTTTTATTGATTAAAAATATTTTAATGTATATATCATATTAAATCGATTACAATGTCCATTATATATATTTATTTGTAATTCAGATCATAAATTTTTAAAATCTTCACAAATTTAGCCTAATTAAGATAGTTTATAAATTAATTAAATCTTACTTCATCTAAAGGAATACAAAGCCTGGCTAGCTTGTGAGATTTCTTCAGGAGATAATATATATGTTTGACTGGTGGGAGTAGAAGGATTGACCAGCGAGAGAATATGAGATTTAGGCAACACAAAAATATCATCTTTCAGAGGAAATTTAAATGAGGCTGAAGGTCCACAAGGCTGTAAAAATCGGATTTTTACTTCTTCATTTATATCATTTTTATCGATTATATATCCTAACCACCATTTATCATCATATACACATGTTATATATCCATTAATATTTTAAAAATTAATTTTCTCATTTAAAAACGAAACTTGTTTTATATTATATTTTTTGGAATTATAATATATTTTGGTTTTTAGTCTATTTTGATCAATCGGAATAACCCCGTGATTTTTTTGCGTCCCATGTAAAATCAGTGCATTAAATCTTTTACGAAGGGCTAATTCCTCTTCGATATATTCTTGATTGGATACATATTCAAATTGAATTACATTAATATTTTCTTTAGCATAATTATATAATTCTAATGAAGTTAGGATTTGATTTTTATTTGGCCTTTGAAGACTAGCTCTGGCAACTAATCTTTTGACAGTTACTCCGATACCGTCACTTGCATTTTTGCCGTGAGCAGTGGCAAAGAAATGCCATTCGGCAGGAATATTAAAATCGTATTTATGAAGGCATATGTTCAGAAAAATTTTGCGATTCTTGTATTGAGACGCGGCTTCATCTGAAAAATATATTATTTTTTCTGGTTTACAATTAAATTTGGATAAAATAACAAAATTTATATTTTTTAATTCTTCTCCAGATTTATATGCTACAAATGGATGTATAGTGGCCTGCACGTTGTTCCAATGAAATCCCTCAACTTCATCTTGTAAAATGAAGGAATAATTCTCAGAATAATCTAGAATTGTTAAAAATTCCCCATCTTTTAAATTTTTCTACATTTGTCATTAATTTTATATTCTGATGAATGGCGCAGACACAAACAGTGTGTGTGCCACTAGCTCCAACTAAAATACAGTTTTTTGGTCTAAGTTCGGCAAATTTAGAGAATCCAATTAATATATTTGGGTATTCTTCCTTAAACATTTTGAATATTTATTTAAGCTTATTTAATATAAGTCTTTGGACTGATTCTTTCTCGCCTTTAACAGATACACAATCTTTTATTCCAGGCACGAGTCGGCTTATTTCATCAGAACTATAATTTTGTTTATTTTTATTGCTTAAAAATTTTTTCAAAATCTTCGAAATTTTCTTTATCTTTGGTTATTTTAATAATTTAAGATAATGACAATTTCATAACATTCTTGATCTTGATGGGTATGACTTAGTCTGGGGGGGGGGGTGGAGGTTTGGGGGTAAGCCTGGTAATTAATGTGATTTTCGATTTTTCCCTTAATAATCTTCCTGCACTCCTTTAATTCTGCTTTTTTGTTAGTGTGCTAGTCGGATTTTTTAATTATTTTTAATTTACATTGAAATATTAAAAAAAATTATTAAATTTTTTTATTCTGCGAATATCTCAGGGGAATAAGGTTTACAAAGTTATATAATAGAATTTTATGATATATTATACATTAAAATATTTTTAATCAATAAGAAAAATTAATTTTAACATATTATAACTATTATATATAACGCCATCTATTTTTTTTAAAGTATAAAAATCGCAATATTTTTTTAAATAAATATCCAGCCATGCTAATTGTTGAAGAAATTATTAAAAAAATAGTAAACGGATAATATTTCTTTAAAAAATTAAAAATCGGAGATCATATACATTTCTAAATATTAATTTCAAGTTTTCAACTGACCATAAGATGACCCATATTTTATCAAAAATTAATTTTGATGTTTTAGCCATAATTATCAATTATTAACTTAGCTATTGATATTAGATTCAATATTTGATCATATTTAGTTTTAAATTAAAAACTAATTATTTGACATCAGTAAAAAGCAAAAAAGACGTTTTTTGGACCTTTAACCCCGATTATCTTCGCTAATATAGTTGCTAATGCGCTAAAATTTTGTTTATAATCTAATGGGAACATATATAACCAGTCTACAACTTTTTATCGAAATTGAAAGGGGTCGGCCGAAAATCTTGATTTTTTTGCTCATTTGACATGGCTGTTTTAAAAAATACAGCCGGGATTGGGTGTTTTTTTAAAAAATGCTATGGATGCTCTGCATTATTTCAAACACATTTTAGATTATATTCCCAATGTATTAAAATGGTTATATATATGTTAGCAACTCTTCCCATTAGTAAACTAATGAGAGAACATTCTCTTTTTTAAGAAGAATAACAGAGCCCTGCATAGGTACTATTTAAAAAGCACGCTACGGATTTTTTTTTCTAAAATTTTTTACGGCCAAGCCCGGGTTTTTTTTATAAAAATTTTCAGGTCCGGCCCGGCTTTTTGAATTCAGGCAAGGCCCGAATTTTTCTAAAATATATTATATTTATTTTTGATTTTTATAGCTAATAATGGCGATTTCAAATATATAGCCAGACCCAGATATTTTTTTTAGAAAAATTTTCAGGCCCAGCCTGGGTGCTATTTTTTAAAAAAAATCGGGCCCGGCCCGGGTATATATAAAAAAATTAAAATACGGTCCGGCCCGGGGGCCGGGCCTGCAAGTCTCTGAAAAACAGTTTTTCAATGCAGCCATTTATATCCGTTTAATATTTTTTAATTCACATTTATTTTATAGTTTTTTTATATGCCGGTTTATATATATAATTTTTTTATAATTCACATTAATTTAAAATTGTGTATTAGAAAAGTTATTAGTCCTAATAAATTTATGCTCAATGATATTTCTTAAAAAAATTTATTATCCCCCCCCCCCCCCAGACCAAATTCCTACGTATGCGCCTGATGACTGGCTAAATATATATATTTTTAAATATTACACAAAGTTGAAATTAGAGCAAAAAAAATTAAGCGGCCCTTTAAAACCCCCAATTTACCTAAACCTCTAAGAAAAGGAAATCCAAATTAGGATAAAATCATTGAACAAATATCAAAATTAATTATGTCAGTCACCCATTTGTGTGGGCCAAAATAAGGCTTCATATTAAAGTTTAAATTCTAATCAATATATTTATATCAAAAACCTGCAAGCAAAATGATATGATTTTAATAATTCAGGTCTGGCTTAAGAAATTAAAAATCTAGGTCAGTAAAAAAATTTTAAATCTGGGCTGGCGCTGGGCTGTTTTAAAATAAATAAATTATATCAATTAATAAGTTGGAAAATTATATAATGAAGCATTTAATATTCATTAACTGCTCATTTTCAATTTCCCATAAAAACAATTGCAAAATAATAAAATTTAAAAATTCCAAGCCAGGCTAATAAATGATAAAAAAATAAACATCAGGGGAGGGCTAAAAATTTCTTAACAAATCCTAGACCAAGCTTTAATATAAATTTTTTTTAAAAATTCAAGCTAGGCCTAAAATTTTGGCCTCTTAGGTCTCTGATTTATATACCAAACCATTCACCTTAATAGTTTATACAATAAATATTTACATATTTTTATATTTAAAGCAATTTTAAATTTAAACCTATTCGTTGCCATTTAGCTACCCAGCTATCTTCTGGTGAGGTTAATGCAATTATTCTAGATTGTTGTGTAATATTTGTTATTTATATTAATGTATATTAAATTTTAATTTTATATAATTACCAATGCTGTTAAAATAGTATTGAAAGTTGCATACTACAGTAGTAGCACCGGGCTACATATTTTGCATTACTTTTATAGCCAATAGTGCTACTACTCTTCTACGAATAGCTAAAATTAGATACTTTTAAAAAAAATTCAAATAATATTTTTAAATGATAAATATAATTTTTTTTTTATAATTTGAATAAATAAAATAATATATAAATTAAATTTGTGCAAATAAACCCTCCTTCATTCTTTCATTTATTGACAACGTCAAATAAAAAGGATAGAGAGAATACAATAATAAAAGATATCCTAAAACATATTTTAATATTTCTAACAAAGATAATCATATAATCTATATGGTTGGGAAATATTCCAAATACTTGATACTTTTGTATCTATATATTTCGAAAAAATATCTTGTATCTGTATCGTATATACTTTTTTAAAATGACAATCTGTATCTAGCTATTTAATATCCAAAAATAGATACCTTTAATTTTTCATTACTTTATAAGTCAAATATTTATTTAAATCTGAATAAACTATTAAACATTTTAAAATTTCCTACTAATAATTATTAAAACCCTAATGCTTCAATACAACACCAGGTCTATAAGATAATTCTGAGGAATAAACTAAAGCAAAAAGCAAGCAATATAACCCTTAGCAATAGTTTTTGATTAGCCGCAGGACCTAATTAGTTATGGGGATTTGGTCCGAATTTTAATTTTTATAAAAAGAAGTATACATTATTACTCAAATATTTTAACCTCAATTTTGGAATAAACATGGATATCCTCCATACTGTGCAGCCATTTTTAAGGAAAAAATGGAATATCTGATTAAACTAGTTATAACAAGATGAAACTATGTGAAATTAATATAATTTTATTAAAGAGAATGGCCATAAATTTGATGATACTTGTGATTCAAATTACAGAGATTTTAAGATAATGACAAGTAGTGTTGTTAAACAGTTCATTTTTAGCCAATTTTTCAAAACGGCTAACTCAATATTTTAGCCAGAAATATATTGCTTAAGGCTCGAGATTTTGATAAAATATGTATAATCCTTTGTTCCTACTATGTGCAGAATATTCAGGCTTGAGTAATATTTTTCTGGATGAAATATCGAGTTAGTCGCTTTTAAAAATTGGCTCAAAACGAGCCGTTTAACAACACTAATGACAAGTCGTTCATTGATGAATATCGCATGCTTATATATGATTTTATAGGTTATCAGCTCTTTTGATTTTGGGAAATCTCACTCCCATGATAACTATATAATAAAAATGGCTTTAAATAATTACATTTTGTAAGCCAGTTATTAATGCAATTCTGCAAGACAAGGAATTTATATTTTGATAATAATTTATTTCAATTAAATATATATTACACCAATATTTAAATCAGATTGGTAGATGTCAGAAAAGGAAGGAAGCTTGAACTATTTTCTGTTTGAGAAAAGATCTTGATAAAGAAAAAGCAGACTTGATTCGTTTAAAAAACAATACACGTACAGATTATTTTCTAATAAAGATAAAAAAAATTGGATGATGATCTGATTAAGATTCTTTTGACAATGAACTAGCCTTTTTACAAAATAAAGATTATTCTTTAATTTTTATTAAATTCCCCCAATTAAAATTTTCATATATAATACATTTATTTTTAAAAAATAGATTTTTGAAAATGGATACTCAGATATTTGCAAAATATTAAAATATTCACTGAAGGGGGGGGGGGCATTATTTGAACATGTGTTTAGCACAATGAAATCTGTGTTGAGCACTAAGCTGTTTATCTGATTAAAATTTTAAAAAACAATAGTTAAAAATAAATAAAAAATTATTAATCATATCTTAATATATTATTTTTGTATTAAAAAGATATCTTATATATTATTTTTTGCATAATTTTATTTATATATTATATACATAGGGAAAAAAAATTGTTTTGTAAGTAAGAGCTACCCATTATTTGAATAGCTGGTAGCATTTATTTTATTCAGAAGTTACTGAATAACGGTAATGCATTCCTATATAACAAGTAACATGTTTCTTTTGAAGTAGCATTTACAGCATTAATAATGATTATTTAACTTATTTTTTGAGTTACAATAGACATTTTTAAGTAAAAATATATTCTTTGCCAAAAAATTCTGAGAGATATCTTCTCTTAAAAGCTAATACAAAATTGATTAATACATAATTTGAAAATCATAATATTTTGTATGGAATTGATATTTATACTTAAAAAGATTTTATTTATAAATATTAAAATATATACATAATTTGTACTGCAATATTTTATTAATTAGCTCTCAAAGTAAAAAATTTAGGCTTTTTTTAAAGTAGCTATTTATGCATTAATACTATTTAAAAAAACAGTATTTTCATTGCACTATTTTTTGGAAAAGTAGTGAAGCAACTATTTTGAAGAAAGTGGTTGTAGTTATAGTGTTCTACTCTTTAAATAACAGCATTGTTAATTATATGATCCATTTTGATTATTTTGTAAACTTTAAAATATTTAACATATAGTTAGATTTTAAAAATTTAATAAGCGATTTGGCTATTAATCTAAATTAGTATCATAAATTATTACCCATCAAAATTGGCACTGGTATAATCATAAACAGAATCCCTATTATTTTTAATATGCAAAATGTCCTCACAATTCTCACAACCATCCATTTCAAATTGATCAACAGTCTAAAACCAAAACAATGATTTTATAATTTATATATATCTATAACTTTAACAAGAGAGCATAAAAGACATGCTCTCAAATGTCGTAATTCTTTAGGCAAAGTTTCTAAAGACATATGTGATGAATGTTTACAATTAAATACCCAGAAATTTTGACTTGATGTGTGTGCTAAACCATGACTAATGAGCAAATTTTTATACTAGGCAAATTATTTTATAACCTATTTCAATAACATACAGTAATTTATTGCTTAAAACTTTGGTGCGACTCTATTTTTTTTATATTAAAATCAATAAATATTTTTTTAATTGTAGTTTGAATATAAATATTCTATTTCGAATAATAACACAAATTTATTATTACAAATAGCGCTGAGTAAACGGCTTAATCGAGACGGTTTAAAAAAATGAATTCATTAACCGGTTATGTTAATTATGAAAAGGAAAAACATTATATCGCTTTTAATAAGTTTCATTTGTCAAAAATGTGAATTTTTTTTAACAACACAATGTCTCTTGATGTTTAAAATTTTATAAAACCAAATTAAAACATTTATTTAAAATGGTAAGATTATGCAATACGAATTAGAGCAAACAATGGGGCTTTTCTATATCTTGTAATCATCTATTTTCTATAGGCATAAATATGATTATTAACTCTAAAATAAGAAACAATTATGAAGACGTTACAGGCAATTCATTGTATCATTAGGAAATTTTTTAGCATTTTTTATTATTTATTTTTTTAATTTATATAAAAAAACTATGGTTTCTTTTTGCGATACTTTTTAATTTTATTAAAAAATAATTTTAGTTAGATGATAAAATAATAAATTATTTGCATATTATTTTAAAAAATCGCCAAATAAAAAATTATACTAAATTGCCTAGTGTTAATTTGCTTGGTCGTAAAATTTACAACCTAATTTGGTGCTTGGATCTTCTCTGAGCACAGATCTATAGCTCAGACCTGAAGAAAACTCTATTTATTTGAAGTTGTTTTTTCTTGAATTTAGGCCAGTATCTATTTTCAATATAAATATCAATCGATAGCTAATCAAGATTACTATTCAATAGGACTAGCGTTCCCTCTCGATAGGCAAATCTAGTAATGGGGAGGGGGCGAGGTCAGGAATATTTTAATCAAAACAAAATATATGGGTATCAAATAAAACATATATTAATTTATCAAATAAAATATGTTTTAATTATATCCTGACTGTAATCATAATTATTATTATAAGTAGGATCTAGGTCTTGGGGGATCAGGAATATTTTTAACAAAACAAAATATTGTTAAAGAAACAAAAATATAGTTAACATATACATATGAAAATATTTAAACAAAATTAAAAATCGTATAATCTGATGATAGATATTTTATTATAATTTATATTTTAAAAAAACATAAAATTTAAGATAAAAATTAGTTTAGAATATATATATATATGTATGTATATTAAAAAGGCAAAGAAAATAATATGTTAATAATTCGATATATACAAATTAAAATTTATAATATTACCCAATTCGGATAATCATATTTTAGGAATAAATCTTGCAAGGTAGATAGCACATAGGATCATAAATCCTAGATTAAATTAGTATTTTAAACAGATATAAATATACTATTAATTTCATTGAGATAAATAACATTATTATGACATAACAAAATACTTAGTTGCTAAACGGTACGAATTTAGGAGATTTTTAAAAACGAATAACTCACGATTTTAGCCAAATAAATATTCCGCGTACCTGGAATCAGCAGAAATCTCAAATTAGCTGTTTAAAATAGGCTAGGCCATTTAATTAGTACTGTTAAGAATCCAATGACATATATGTCATTGTAAAAACCCCGATTTCGGTCAATTTCGTCCCGATTCGATTTTATCCAAAATAATATTATGTAAGGCTCATTTCGCAAATAACTGCTCAAAATTTTCTGCAATCTGTGAGCAAAATCTTCAGGCTTACATTGCCTTTAAAAATGAACCAGAATCAGGATTAACAACACTTCTTTCACGAATATTAAATTTAACTAATAATAAATTAAATACAAATAGCCTATTAGCAAAAATATTTTAATTTATGGATATTTTTCATTTATTAAATCTATTTCTAAATAAGTATCCTTATATCTCTATTCCTACCTCTCTAATTAATGTTTGTTTATTAAAAATATGATTACATATACTGGTATACCTGACCAATTATTGCCATATTTCATCACGAAGTAACATTATATCTATCCTCCGGGAGAAAGAGATATGCATTGTTAGCGTTGAGCGAGCCATCTTATTCCTTAGTTTAGTTATAATATTACTGGGAAGATAATTTTTCCGATACTCACAACGTTGTCCATTTGCATAAAAAGTCCTTTGTCATCATATCATTGCAAAAGTAGGAATACTATCCGCATTTCCTCTCCACCAATCTTATATATTCGCTAACCCGTGCGCGAGTATCTCATCTACGCATGTCATTAATTTTATATCATCATTATTAACATTTGATGCTCCTTCCTTACAGAGATAAAATATCAAAGATTATATAAATCCTATCAAAATTGATGCATTTCATTGATTATTCAATAAATATACCTTTTTCAATCTTTGCAATATTGAAATGGTTTAAAATTTGAGGGATTGTTAATTATTATCAGATTTAAATGTATCAAATAATTCTGACATGTATTATATTAAGTTTTGTTTCAAAATATCAAAGCTGCAACGTCTTCCTTTAAATTAATAATTAAGGTATTATTCATCCTAGGATCAAGTTAAGACCCAGAATAGTTAAATGGTGTGTTTAAAAAATTGCTATATTGCTCGTATTATTTTATTTGGATGATGCTTCTTTTATGGAACAATCTGAATGAGCCACAGTCTGATTTTTCAAATTTTATAATATATCATTAAAAAATAATAAGGTCATCCCGATTGTAAAAGGGTGATAAGAATTCCTCCAACTCTATAAAGTGCGCGCAATCATCAGGAGTGGGCGTAATATCTTCTCCAATGACCCTGTTTGCTGATTTGATAAAAGGCATTATAAATAAATATTATGAAAAAAGAATAAGCTATTTGCTGTTCCATCTCTTTTTTAAAAACAAGAAGTATTTTTGTTACCCCATTTTGCATAAATTTGGATGAGTTATGTATACAAACTATTTTTTCCAATTTTTCCTCAAAATATGTAAGGCCTTACGATTAATTTAATAATATGTGCCATGTAACGATGCCCATATAAATTGTCGAATAATTTGTTGAATAATAATCTTTCAGCAGTTCTACTACCTTGACCTCATTAGACCCGTTGCAATGTGTCATAGCTAAAAGTCTAACCTTTAGTTTAAAATCATCTAAGGACGATAAAATCAGCTTACAAATTTCTTCTCCTGTGTGTTGATGAGGGAAGGATATTATATCCAAAGCATGATCAATAGATGCCCAATTTTTATTTATGCAATAAAATGTCATAGCACACAATGATGTACTATTATTGGTCGTCCATATATCCATAGTAATCGAAAACCTATTAGTTAGATTTTCTAATTTTACGATGTCATTTTATTATACATATCCTAGATTTTTGATATCGTCTGTCTACACCTAAGCTTGATATTTTTATTTGTATAATTAATATCTTGTTAATTAATAAAACAGCCAAATTTCCGATGGGGGAAGAAAATTTCCACATTCCCAAGCCTTGGTTGCGCGATTGCAGAAGCATAAAATTAAGGGTGGATTTTTATTAATTTAAAATTAAAAGAATTATGACAGCAATATTTAACGACCTATCATATTTCTCAGGGAGAATTTATTCTCAAACCCCCTAGCATACGCTCATATATTTTAGGTAAAAAAAAATAACCATTAGTGTTTCGTATAATAAATTAGGGCTTTCAAGAATCCTTGGTTAATAAGGTATCCATATCCTTAGATTATATTCTTGATAGTAAGAAAATGAACACATCTTATTTATGTTGTGTTTTTTATAAATCTATACTCATTTATAAGATGAACCTGTTTTGTTATTTATTGTATTTTGTTTATATTTAATTAATTATAATTTGATTAAAAAAAGAAAGGGAGAGTGATTTTTTTATGGCAAAATTGTATTCATGATGTCATTATTCGCTATTAGAAATTGACTTGAAATAAAAAAGAAATACATGAAATAATTTCGATTTTAAATTAAGTATACGCTAAATATTGATTTTAATTAAAAACACCTTTATGAAAATGTTACCACAAAAGAGGGATCGACTTTTTTGGGATGATGTGAAAATATTGCAATGTTATTACCACTATATTATCACTGTTATGAAATTCAAATTATTTGCTATAGTAATAAATACAATATTCATCTAATTACGATATTAAGTAGACTGAATTTGACAAAATTTTGTAATAAGATATATTTATTTTATTGGTAAATCATGATTATGTATATACAAATTTAATAATTTAGAATAATAATTATATTTATTGACAATATTTAAGGAAATCGCTCTTATAAAATCTAGAAGGCTTCGCACCCCATTACGGTATTCCTCGCAAAATTTCTTTAACCGAATCTGGGTATTATAATTTTGCGATTTTTTTCTGTGTCCAACTACCTATGTGCCATCGTTCAAGTTTAGTTTCATCGGTCACCTCACATTTCATTTTTTTGTTCAATACCCAGATTGATGGGTGATTATACCCAACCAGAACAATGATTCCAACCTTCGCATTGATTATTTGTGCGTTCTTCGGATAGATAGCTCTGATTCATGTTCCAAGTTTCTGGATGAAATTGAGGCTCTATTCGACGTGTATGGTTGAGAATGGCTTCTTGTGACCTCCCTTGATACTCGATTGATATAATTTTTATCCAAATAATCAAGAATATTTTTATCATTGCTCGGAGTAACCCTCAGGAATGTCATTGCATTGCCCATATCACATAAAGGAACAAATACTAAGCCGTCCATCATGCCACAAAAGAAGCCTAGGAGTTTCGTCGGTCCTATTGGCTTTCTAGATTTGTTTCTGATTTTTTCTCTAGGTGCTTTGACACAAATGGTAAAAGCATTATCTAATTACGATGTGATCCCCTAATTGAAAAAAATAAATATAAATAATTAAATATATTAATAATTATACCAATGATAATTTTAACCGCGCTCATAGCAGACTTTTCGAAATCCATGTGTATATATAATGTATCAAGAAATAAATCCCTTTCCTGACATTTAGACATTATTATTTTGAATATTTTTTCTAAGTATTTTTCGTTTTTTTTTGGAGTACACAATAAGCAGTGGTGATAATAATAGTGTTTATTGATACTCTAATGACATATAATTGTAGAAAATATTTTATCGAAGTGATGGAGCTTCAGTTAAGATTAGATTGGTAGGGGGTTCGACTTGCTGTGATCTCGTAAGTGGTATTTTAAGTTATTATAAATAAAGTACTCGTAAAAACTTTACTTCAAAAAGAATTAATTACATATAAAAATTTTATAAGCCAAAAAAAATATATTAAAATTACAATTTATTCTTGAAAATAATTATTTTAAACAAAAAACAAAATATATCTTTAAGCATAAAAATTTGTCCCTTTTATAGGGAAAATAAAACGCGCAATTATAAATTAAAATAAAATTGGCCCAAAGTGAAAAAAAGAACGTTTTTGCAAAAAGGAGTTGTGTTAGTTTTATCTTACATAATTAGGGATAAAAGCATAAAACCTACCCCCCTCCCATACTTTTCGAAACTTTAATTATACCTCTGGAAAGGCGATCTCCCGGACCTAAAACCCCTATGTAAAAGAAAACACAAAAACCATATGGTACTTAACTCAAAACAAAAAAAAATTTATTATTTAGTTTTTATGTATTTAAGACAAAACAAAAGAAGGGTAAAAAAAAGAAAAATTTTATTTAATTTTTATGTATTGAAGACAAAACAAAAGAAGGGTAAAAAGGAAAACTATTTTTAATTGAAGTTTGTAATAGGAGACATGGCAATTTCAATCCATATACCATGCTGTCGTATTTGCTATTAAATTTAAGGATTCATCCGTTGTAAACAAGAATACGTTCTTCAGAGTCTGCAGCTTCTTCATGTTAGAAATAGATTTCATTACTAGTTTCAATATTTGATGGATAATATGAGCTGTTTCAAGTATCGGGTTGTGATTTTCCAGTGTTGATGATAATATTGCTCAGTATTTAAAATGAATACTTTGAACAGAGCCATATTATCTTGTTTGAGCATTTTTTATGGATGGTATATGAGTAACCTTCAAATACGACTTCCTGGATGAAAATTAGATCCATTAATTTTTTTTATAAAATATAAATTTTATGTCTTAAATATTATATTTGCAAATTATCAAATTTAAATACAAAAAATTTTATTGTCTTTATATACCGTATAAATACAAATTATTAATGTTTAATTTCATAAATACCGGGAATTATAGCGTTATTTGAACTGATAAACAATTTTTATTATTTTGATTAAAAATACATTTTAAACCTTAATGTTTATAATATATCTTAATAGCTGTTCATGATTTAGTACTTGCTGAAAATTATATTTTTTAACAAATTATTCATTTCAATTTTCTAAATACCAGGAATTTTAGCGTTTTCAATTCTAATAATCAATTTTAATTCAGTTGATTTATATAAATTTTAATCCTTAATGATAAATAATAAGATAATATATCTTAATAGCTATCAATGATTGTGGCACTCGCTTATAAAATTATTTATCAATATAATATATTGCCATGGGCACTCGCTTATAAATTTTTATCAATATAAATTATTGCTAGGTTATACTAAAATATAAGACTGTATAAAAACAATCATCCACCTAAAAGAAATATAAATTCAAATTTGTAAAAAAAAATCCAAATAAAAATTTGCAAAAAAGTAAAAATCAAAACCACATCTACCTTGCTTTACCCAAACCCAACCTCCATATATTAATATGATAAAGCATCCCTAATAATTCCCCACCACTCTTAGATTTTTGATTTGAAGAAAATCTCATAGAAGAAATCTTATGTTATATGTGAGTATTTCAAAAAGTGTTATTTATAAGCGTCAAATTTGATAAAAAAATACTATTTAATTTGAAATTTTAAAGGTTTTATTTTTGGGGGTTAAGGGTTTTTCCATGGGGTATTTCCCGGGGTTATTTTCCATGATTTTTTTCAGGGGTTTTTCCTATTACCGCTCCATTTATCAATTATTACACATCTGCTTACTTCCTTCATTATACTATGCAATAAAATTGCATCTGGCGATACTCCGCCATTTATTCCCCTAATTTTATTTGGTGCTTAACTTATTGCCCTCATTTAACTTAATAAAGGCGTAAAATCAATTGCCATAGGCACAGTCTTTCAAAGACTCACCGCCAAATTTATTTTGACTCGGCTTTCAAGTATTACTTCTATTTTTCTTGCACTCACGCAACTAGGTATTGGTATAAAAGTGGTTACGAAGCAGTAGCTCATGCTGCTCATTTCTCCAAAACAATCCCTCGAAGGCACATCTAAATAAAATCGACGACTGCCTTGCAATTATCTCCACAAGAAACATTGTCTCACCCAGTATAAAAAAGTTTCCAAACTATGTAAATTACATAATCATTTGTTACTAATTCCCTTCTTCAATATGAGGACTAAAATATCTAAACTGCTGAAGGTATTCAGTAAGGGGACCCTCTAGGCCAACTTTCATTTTGTTTAGGTCTTAATATTGCATCACTGAAAAAATTAAAAGCTCAATCTTCATATATGGTAAATCGATGGCGCAATAATTAGTTGTTCAGATAGATAAGGCTTGCAGTATAATAAAAAAAATGTAGGAGTCTCTATTGGTCTGTGATCAAATAATTTTTTTATTAAATCCTAACTACCATCCCTTCCTACTACCAAGGCGTATTTCCTAATATAATTTTTTTTTACAATTCTTCAAGCCTTAATATCCCCGCTGACTTCAAATCCGGAGAACTCAAAACTTCCTAGTTAAAAATAATAATGGGGGAAATTGCTAATCTTGGGTTTAATGGCATGGCTACAAGCCGCAATACCCACTTGCAATAGAGGAATCGGAATTCGGTTTTCAATTGTGTTATCGATTGACAGATTTATCTACAATCAAACAAGCAGATACTGTTGAATATCTACCAACTTGCAGTCGACCATTCCTTTTGCTCCTTTGAACATTGGTTCAGGTCATTAATTTTAAGATGCATTCCTTCTAAAAACCTTGGCGTTCTATTCAATGACCAGGAATTTAGTTTTGCTACTATTCGTTTAAACCAATGACATATATAATACCTAGACTGACGATTCATTCATTTAAAGTGTACATCAATGCAAATCAGCTGGAGACGCCAACTTGGTTAAACTTCATTATTAAAATTTTAAACCAGAGTCTAATTTTTCCTATATCTGATGCAAACTTTATTAAAGAATTACCGGATCATCGAGATAATAAGGAAGCAAGTTATCAATTTAATAGTAGTTTTTAACATGAGAATAATTACTATATGTGTTACCAAAATGGCGGGTCCAGCTGATTTGCTTTTAACCACGCTTAAAAATGCATTTTAATGAATGAATCATCAGTCTAGGTATTATATATGTCATTGGTTTAAACATAAACTCGATCATCTCACATAAATGCTAGATGGTAAACTGACTGATTTGGATTTGGACAGACATTGCCTTCAATGCCCTAGAGGTAGCGGGAAAGCTTCCCTACACACCCTATGCAATTTCCTTATGGGCAGACAAATTTCGGTCAAAACAGAGGACCCAAATAAAAATTTTATATTAATCAAAGACTAATCCAGGTCATTAAATCAAATTTCGATTGCCTGAATCTGTTTCATTTATACTTGTAATTTTATTTTATCATTGTTTGGTCATTAAATTTAATTCCAAATGTCTTATTAACTCATTCTCCTGTTGATTTTGCTTCGTTTAAATTTCAAATCTTATTTTATCGTTATTTTATATTTGTCTTTTATTCTATTTATGTTAGGAAAAATATAATTTATTTAATATTTTTATAAATTAGTTTTTTTTAAATTTTAAAGTTAATAATATAAAAATAACGACTATAATTAAAAATCTCTATAGAATAACCAAAGTTATTTTTATAAAAATGTAACAGCCAAAGGACTACAATAAGTGGAACTAAAGATCTCCAATAAAAATTACGAGGTAAAAACATAACTAATAGTGCCGCCCCCTCAATCCTGGCTACGCCTATGCATCAAGTACTGATAATTTAATGATGTTTATCAATTTTATTCTATATATTATATCATAATTTCCACTTCCTAAACTATTGATTTTTCAAAAATTAAATTTTATAAAAAAAAGCAAAGTAATATTCTATTGATGTTGTTACATTGGTCGGCCCAAGGAAACATCCAATCTTGGCGATTTTAAATGCCTCCTATTTTTTACGTATATAACTGAATTCTTTTGCAAAAATTATATTGATATTCATAATATAAAAGCTTTTTCAAAAATAGAAAGATTGAATTGCAATAAATTAAAGTTAGTTAATATGAAATGCACGTCATATTAATTTTACGAATTATCATAAATATAATATTACGATTTCATATTAATAATTTTAATTTTTGTTAATGCTTTCACTAAACTATATATATTTGTTAAAACACTTTTTTTTATATTCATAAGCATGCCTCTCTAATATTATTGAGTTTCATTTAGTTATTCTTAAGGAGAAATGTCTACAAATGAAAAATGGTATGGGTCTGACGAAAAGAGTAAACGTACTCTAATAGAATTCTTAGATTACGTTTGGCGCAAAGAATGTAAGCCTGGATCGGATTTAATTGTTTATATTGGAGTGGATGGAACCAAATTTGAGTGTCATAAACTCGTGCTTGCATGCCATTCTAAATATTTTGAATCTATGTTAGGTATGACTGAAGCAGGAAGCGACGCTAAAAAAAACACAACAGACTTACATTCAAAAAATGATTTGTCTGAGAGTTTTTGGCAAGAACAAGGTACTTACAAGCAAGAAATTATTTTAGGCCCTCATACCTCTGTAACCGGGGATATCTTCAAAAAGGTTCTAAGGTTTATGTACACATTAGAAATAGAAATAGTTCCTGATGAATGCCACAAATTTTGGGCAGTCGGAGAAGCCCTGGGGATGCCTCACTTGCAGAAACTTTGCCTTGAAAAAGATCCACAGGCTGAAGAGCGTGGTAAGAAACATTTAAGTGGGGCCATACCAGAGGATCACAAAGTGTTTGCAATTACCAAAGTTGCAACCCCGCCTCCACCACCTCCTCCTCCCAAGGCACTTACACCTCCCCCACCTCCACCCCCTCCCCCTCCCCCACCAACTGCCATTACGGCTCCCAAAGAAGCCACCCCTCTTCCTCCACCTCCTCCACCCCCTGAACCTGCAGCTGTCCCAGAACCCACAGTTAAACCAGAACCAGCTATAGCTGAGGATGCTCCACCGCCTCCACCTGAACCAGAAACAGCGCTGGAACCGTCAGCTGATGAGCCTTCAGTGGATGAAGAAGTTAAAGATGAAAAAGCGGCTAAAGGTAAAAAAGCACCTGCAAAAGGTGAAAAAACACCTGCTAAAGGCGGAAAACCTCCTGCTAAAGGTGGTGATAAAACTCCTGTCAAAAAGGAATCCGCGGAAGATAAAGCACCCTCCAAGGCGGCTGCAAAGGAAAAAAAAGAAGGCGGTGCGAAACCTGGCGCTAAAGCAGCCAAGAAAGATGACAAAGCTGCTGATGGTGGTAAAGAGAAAAAAGAAGGTGCCAAGGCTAAAAAGAAGAAATAAACAGAGCCTTCTTTAAAATCGTAATTTTTCGATTATTGATTATTACACTTATATTTACAATTTTGGTTTAATAATTGTTTCGCTCTTTATCATAAATTTTAATAAAGTATAAATTGTGTTCTGTATCTAACAATAAGTCTTAAAGTTTGCGATGGGGGCACGCTATTACTCTAAAAAAAATAGTGGTAGGTAGACTAAAATGGGCAAAAAGACAAATCTAGAATTTGAGGCAAATTTTTTACTCACTATTTTAATAGTTTATACCGAAACATTTCATATAAAATATATAATATTTATATTATATAAAATAGCTATTAAGAAAGTTATATAAAAATAGAAATATATTACAAAATAATATAAATATTTTGCATAAATTTTTTTAGAATGCTTTCCATAATTATAGAAAAATAATTATATTATATTATATAATGCATAAATCGGAAGGAAGAAAATAAGGTGAAAAAAAATTACAATTATCGTCATACCGAATCTTTTCAATATTTTTAATAATATTAACCGCATGTTTCCTTAATTAGTTATGGCTTGCAAACCGATGATTTCCACTCTTTAATATATGGCGAAGATTTATACTGACTGCGAGGAGACCTATTTATGTTTTTCATTATTATTCTGGAAATATGTTTTATCATAATAAGACTTCAAGCAAATCCGTCATAACTTTCATTATTATCAATATACTAGTCGTAAACCAATTCGTTCAATTTGCTCTTCCCAGGCGCGTAACCAATGGGGGGGGGGAAGGGGGAAATTTCCCCTCCCATCGCAAATTTGACTGTTTTCTTAAATATCATTTTAAGCTAATAAAAATTTTACCCTCCACCCCCTCCCCTCCCCTAATCAAAATTTTACAAATATTTGAATAACAATTTTCCAACATAAAACTTATTTTTTATAAATATATTTTATTAAAATTTCCTTTCCTTGTGAGTACATTAACATTATTCAAAAATATTAATAAAATGGAAAAATTTTAAGTCAAAGAGATTGAAATCAAATGGTAATTTAGTTTATTATTATATATAATTATTTTATTAAATTCAAAATTATTAGTAAGTTAGAATTAATAAGTATTTTTAATATTAGTTATTAATAAATATCTATAATTTTTTAAATATTTTATTTTTACTTAGATTTTGTAGAACAGAAGAAATAGAAATACAAAAGTTAAATAAGGTTGAGCATGAAAAAAAGTAATGTGTCGTCAGAAGCGATATCATTATTGAATTCAATTGATCAATCAGAGTTTATCATTGCTGCTAGTTGCATCAATAAATTATTTTCCTATAGCTCACTACTTTGTAGAAATTTATAAAAACCAAATTTAGATTTGGTTCAGGTTATTGATTTGGCGGAAAATATATATGAACAGGTAGATACAATAAGAATGAATGTAGATGAATATTTTCATAATATTTATATAGACGTTGAATCGAAGGCTAAATTTTATGATATAACACTAATTAAACCTTGTCTAGCACCTGGGCAATTATTGAGATGTAAAATAAATATTGGCTCAACTGAAGAATATTATAAAATATTCACTTTCATTCCATTCTTAGATACATTTGCAATCTTCAAGTTTTAATACCCAAAGATCCATCTTGGTTTTCTAATGCCACTATTGGTAAAATTAAATATTTAGCAAAATTTTATTCCTATGATATTGATACTGAAATAAATTTAATCAGTGAATTCGAATTGTGGTATAAATATTTACTACATTTAGCTATTTTACCTGAGATTGCTATTGATGCGCTCAATCGGTGTAGAGATACCTTGGCTCAAATTCCTAATATTTTGAAGTTGTTTTATATTCTACCATGTTTGCCTATTATAACAGGTACGAATGTTAGGACTTTCCAACTTAAGAAGGTTGAAAACATATTTATGAAGTACTACTTCCGAATCGGCTAAATGGGTTAGCTCTGTTAAATATCCACAGAGATTTGGTTCCAACGACAAACAAAATTCTTGATGAATTGGCAACATTCCCACGAAAATTAAAAATCACATTATAATTATAGTATTTAATAAAAAATTTTGTATAATACTGTATTTGATAAGAAGTTTAAAAAAACTTGTTTATTAAATTATTTTCTAGTCAATATTTTATAGTTTTGTTAAACGCCTCGTTTTGAGCCGATTTTTAAAAACGGCTAACTCAGTTATTTATCCAGAAAAATATTATGCAAGCCTGAAAATTTTGCTCATAGAAGAAGCAAAGGTCTAGATATATAGTATCGAAATTTCGAGGCTTAGTTAATATTTTTCTGGCGAAAATATTGAGTTAGCCGTTTTTAAAAATCGGCTCAAAACGAGCCGTTTAACAACATTAATATTTTATACACACTACTATTAGTATTTTCAATAAAAAAATTATATTATACTTATATTATATGTTTAAGCTGAGGCTAGTTTTTAAAGCAAATGTTATAAAAAAATGACATTAAAATTTATTTCAACTTTACATTTAAAAAATTTTATTAAATATAATATACCTAACTAAAAATAATAAAAAATAAGCTTGTAATATCCAATAGCACGAATTAGTAAATAATAGTTACAAATATAAATATAATTATTATTAAATTATGAATAATTTAATGGAATAGCCAAAACATAAGACCCGGCCGAAGGCCGGGAAAGCTGGCCGAAGGCCAGATAAGAGGGGTTTGGGGGCGAAGCCCCCAAAAATTTCACCCATAAGAAAATCCTGGATACGCCACTGGCTCTTCCCCAAAACGAATGTGAGGATCTGCAAGCTAGTTATATTTTTCTAAATATTCCATATCAGGTAAATAAGATAGCCAAAACTGTATAATTTAATATATTACCTTTGATTACTACCATAAGAATTAACATCCATTAACCTATTGAATAATATTCATTAAGGCAGTAATGAATTTATCGTTGATACCAAAGTGCCTTGTTTTACTTTAGCTTCTTGAAATATTTTCATATATTCTTCTTTAGAAATCGTCCACTGAGAATTAGATTATTCCATTTCCACTTAATTTAATTTTACAGAAGAGCAATTTTAAAAAATAAGTTACCATTGTTTTCATTATGATGGTTAACTTGGCTATAATTTAATTGATAAGTATCTGAGTTTTATGAAAATAAAATACTATAATTATAAAAAATTGTTTGCGTTAGTTATTCCAAACTGACTTGGCAGTGAGAAGGCCTCTAGACCCCATAGTATATCAAATCAAGTACCTTTCCAATCTTCTGCACTGAGCCCATTTAGACTATTTGATTTAACGTATTTTGATGTTAGACTGGCTATATAAATTATAGTTTTGTGTCAATTGAGACTTTAAAGTGATTAACGCCTGTAATACTTTTTATTATATCGGACACAGCTAATTCGAAACGGTGATTTAAACAAAGTTAGAGTATGATCGTTGAAGGTAGTGCACGAAGGCGCTTTGCTACACCCAATCTCTTCCCAGTCATGACACTGGCGCCATCGTTAACAAAAGAAATTCAATTTTTTGCAAAAACATTTCAGAAAACTGCGTATTTAAGAAGAGCTAGTATAAGGTATGAACTATCTTCTCTGCTTTCGATTCTAGTTCAAATAAGTCTAGAAATTTAAAAATGGGATCATCATAAGAAGACAACTGCCCATTTTACGTAAATTCAAAACGGGTTTATTTGACAAGTAGTAGATTCATCTAAGGATAGTAATTTTCGATTGTAAATGTATATTATTTACAATTTTATTTTCATTTACTTGGCAGTAAATTATTAACAAGGCAGAATATCTATAATGTTAAATATATCCTATATCTGAACCGATATACCCTGTAAATCTATTAACGATTCAAGATCCACACATGGACAATTTGATTTTACAGAAAGTATACAGTATTCAATAGTATCTTGGTTTAAAACCATTATGCATAATCATTTTTAATGCATGCTCTAGTTATAAAAATAATTAGTAATATTTTTCATTTTTATTTAAACAAGTACACGGCTAGACAAAACTAATACATTAATATTCCTCCATTTCTATTGGATATTCTTTTTTAAGAGCCAATTAAAATATGGAAGGGTTCATTTTTGAATTAAAAATAAACTATTATACATGAATATACTACCTTGTTTACAAAATTTATAATGTTTATTTCTTGATAAAAATTATTATAATATGATAAAATACCAATTAAAATTTTTTAGAAGAGGTCCGCCATGCCTCCTACTTTTTTGAAAATTTCTGACGTAACCACCCTAAATTTTTGCAAAATTAGTGGGGGCACATCCCTCCCTTATAACGATATCAAAATATTGACTAGAATTTATTTATATAATTCTCCATGTGACTAAAATAAAAATTTTATATAACAATTCACTAATTACTTTATTAAATTTAGTAACACATAATATTCTTCAAATTAAAAATGATATAAAACAGACAATAAAAACATTAATTTTTAATACGGAACCATCGTAAAAATGTGACTCTTATCTTTGGGCTGCTTAAACAATATATATAAAAATTTAAGACACAATTGCATATTTCAAGAGTATTACTAGTTAAATTAAATTTAGCATGAGCCATTCTCCATTGCTTCCCATATAATGAATTCATGATTATTGAAACAGAACCAGGAGTTATACAAATGATAGTAAATATTAGGACCCCAAACATAACTATAGTTACAGATTTTTCGTCACTCATATTAGCGGAATCTTTGGAACTGGGTCGTAAATTTATGATTAGTTTGTATGACAGGATTATTCTGATTTTTAAAATAATTATTAAGCATAGCGGGAGATACGTCAAAAGTAATATTTTTATAATCTGATATGCTTTATATGAATTTGAATGCTTTTTTAAACAGAAACCATAGCAAATATTTTCGGTTCCATTAGTATCATTAAATTTGATTGGAATATTTTGAGATGATGGATAATAATTTGAAATTTGAACTGAGGTGTTAAAAAAAAGTTTATCAGTAATTCTTGGG